CATTTCATCAGCCTGTGTTTATGTTTTGATGTTAACACACCGTGAACAACCAGTGTCAACAGAGACTCACATTTTACTGTACCTAACTTTAGAGAGCAATACAATCACCCCACGTTGACATTAAAAGCAGGCAGACATTAAAAGGCAGCATATGGTGCAGTGTGCTAACTCTGAGAAATGAATGCTTCCATGTTGATGTGACCGTGTGGTTGGGCTAGCGTTATCCACTGTTAGCTGTTTGAGCTAACGTTAGCATCAGGAGTATCGCTCGTAAAGAAGACAGTTGAGCAGAATATGTGATAAAACAAATAACCATGAGCTACAGTGTGTAATAGCGTTCAATGTTTGGTAATTACATTGTTATAAATAAAACACTATCGTTTTATTCATTCATTCCCAGAAGGAGCTAACGTTAGCCTAGCAGGGCATAGCTCTACCTTGTTGGTGAAGTCGACCCCGCGCTCCTCGGGCTCGCCGTTGATCATGTCCCCGTCATCGAAGAACTCGTCCCCGGTGTCGTCCCCGCCGCTGCAGCCTCCCCGGTCCGGAGCGAAGATGCTGGCTGGGACTAGCGCGTCGGCCAGCATGGAGCCCGGGGTTAAACCTGGCTCATGCGCCGCTGCTATCGATGCCATTTCTATGCCAGCCTTGCAGAGATAAACAAGAAGCTGTCGTACCGACGGTGAGTACCCACACACACCTCACAGTAAACACACACACACACCTCACAGTAAACACACACACACTGAGCACCGCAACCTCTCCTGCACAGAGGTACTAATTGTAAAACATCACAACAACAGACTGCGTGTTTGTGTCTGCAGTTGTTTTGCATTCAAGCCATTTAATAATAAAACCCTACCATCGTTTTTATCAATATTCATGAGGAAGGTGTGTTTTCACCCGCCTTTTTACTTCCTGTTCACCAATGGTGTTGTAGTTTTTAATCAATGCATTAGCAGTGGACCAATAACAGAGAGGGGGTCGTTCATATGATTACAGGATGGGACAGTCCCTCGCAGGGCTGCAGGCCTGCTTGTCTTGTTTATAATGGTGCAATCACCTTGTAATACTCCTGTGTTACATATATGATCATTTTAAAAAATAGGCTTTTTTGGTAAATTTGCAAAAGTAAAGAAGCATTTAAAACAATCATAATCCCTTTTCTTAATGTTTCTGAAACAAATTGAATCTTAGAAATGATCACTGTCAAGAAGTTTGTTCTGACAAAATGATTATCTGAGTTTCACAAGAAATATGAAATATTATAATATAAAATTCTTAATAAAAAATAAAATAATGAAGCTGACAAAGGCCTCTGTGTAGCAACAGCTGCCTGAAAGCCCAAGAAGATTGCAATAAAGTTTATAAATCCCCCTCCCACTCAAAGAGAGAGAACACTCGATCAGAAAACCTTCAGAGGTCAAGGACTGAGAGTTTCTAGGGTTAAGCACTGTACAATGCGAGCCAACAGGCAAACAAATAGCGCCTTTAATTGTAAATAATGTAGTGTTGCAGTTTCATTCCATGGCCACTAGAGGGCACTAAGTTCTAATGTCTCTGACTGCAGCTGAGCAATCAGCTCCACCTAGTGTCCACCCAGTATCACAGCAGCTACTGTACCTCACTGATCGTTTGGGTCAAAACTTAAATAAAAATAACAGCAGCTAGTTTTTACTGCAGGACATGACTTTCATATTAAAGATTGATTTTGTTAAAAGACATCTACTCAAAAACACAGGCTGCTCTACTATTTCTGTCCAGACCTATTTATTTAAAAAAAATGTCACAATCCAACCATCAAATAATGTCTCTTATCAGCAGTTTAAGTTTCCCTATATTTCCTTACAGCGTTTGCAGCATGCCATACTGTAACTTTATGCTCTAAGCAGCTCTGAGAAAAAGAAGGACAAAGCTTTATTTTAAGTCAAAAGTTGGGGGAAAAAAACTTAAAGTAGTTTTAGAAGTAAACATTTCAAATATGTGACACACAATAAATTTCAATTGGCACACAAAGGTCTGTGTGTGTGTGTGTGTGTGTGTGTGTGTGTGTGTGTGTGTGTGTGTGTGTGTGTGTGTGTGTGTGTGTGTGTGTGTGTGTGTGTGTGTGTGTGTGTGTGTGTGTGTGTGTGTGTGTGTGTGTGTGGGCGTCTCTGTGTGTGTTCCTCTGATTATGTGAAAGGTCTCTGTGTCGTTACATCTGCTGACTGTCTTGAGACTGGGTCTTGGGGGTTAGAGGAAACATCCGATCTTTTGATGTCAGAACCAAAAGCTGCAGGCGTCAACCCCGATAAGAGCTGTAAGTTTATCTTCCCAGTTACACAGTGTCCCTCAAGAACTCATTTTAAAAAAAATAAAGTTATTATCCAGTTGATCAAGTAATAAGGGATACAGCTCTCTGTTATGTCAGAGGCCAGTTATGTCAAAGCTGGAGGCTTGCACGCTGCCAATTCTTTTTGGGCACTGATAGATGGCAGCTGTTCAACATAAGAACAAACCCTGCACTGTTTGTCAGGGAATATTAAGAACTAAAAGCTGATTGAAGTTCCATACATACACACACATATGTGCAATAGTAAGCTAGAAATCAGACGGCAGACGGACAGGTCACAGGTCTACAGCAGAAATCATCACAAACACTTAAAGTCCTTTCACACTCTTTCACAGATCTTTCAATGTTGAGGTCACACCGAAAACATAAAGGCTTTATATGTGATTTTTGGTTCCAGCAGATGTCGCCCTTGGGCACCAACATGCAACCAAAACAACTCGGGGTACATTGTTGTGTTAGCATGCTAATGCTAGCGATCTTTATTGTGCTCGTATCTTCACACTGCATGTAAATTTACCTGAAATGAGCGTGATCTAGAAACACAGTTAAGCAGTGAGTACAGTATGTTATTCTTCTTTTCTCTAGTCCCTCAATTAAACAACTTTTATACGTGAGGGGAGGAGTCAGCCGCTGTCCTGGCGATGTAAACAAACTGAAGATAAGACTCTAAAAACTCTGAAAACATCACAGACAGTGGGACTCGGGTGTTACACACATTGTAGACAGTCATGACTCACAGAGTTATTTTCAGAGGATATACTTGATTTATATTACATTTAAGTGTGAAAAATCACATATAAAGACTTTAAGGACACAAAACAAATTGATTTTCATTCTCAAATCTGATTGGTCCATTTATTGACAGGTAGAGCTGGTAGATATCATTTATTGCCCAAACCTTCACCAAGTAAGTAAGTAGCAAGTAAGTAGTAGTTTATTTATATAGTGCCTTTCAAGAACAGACATCACAAAGTGCTTCAAAATAAAGAATTAAACGAAGATAATACCAACAGACAGTCACATAATACTGCTGTTTTTTTAAGTGTTCACAGAGGTCAAGGCTCTCAGTTTTGGGAGAAGACAGTTTCAAAATGTAGGTGCCACAACCTCAAAGTGTAGATTGGGTTTCTACAGCATGTTTAACAACAGTGACTGAGAATGATCTGTCAGATAAATATGAAGAGAACCAGTCTAAGCCTGTTCCAGAGACACCCACCAACTGCTTGAGTCTCTCAATCAACACACTGTGCTCCACAGTGTCCAAAGCGGTCTCTGAGGTCTAGGAGGAGGACCAGGTCTGAGCATTCTCCAGCATCAGCAGATCATTAGTGACCCTAAAGAAGAATGGCTCTGGCGGAAACCTGACTGAAATGTATCTAAAATGTCCTGTTCATCCAAGACAGATGTAAGTAAGCTGGTTAGCAACCACTTTTACTCAGACCTTAGAAATTAAAGCAATGTGGATATAGGCCTGTAGTTCTCAGGGACAGAAGTCAAGATTTGTTTGCAGCGAAGAGGATAGAACCAAACCAGATATGAATGAGTTATTGATTATAGAGCATAGATATGGGCCAGTCGAGTCTAGACTTTTTTTTTTTAAGCAGAGGAGTGGGTATGATGTCGAGGGAACTGGAAGATGTTTTCACCTATTATTTTTTTTCAATTCGTTTAAAGAGACCGTGGAAAAGTTCTCCAAAATCGGTGGCCCGAGAAGGACAATATGATGGAGGAGAAAATGAAAGAAAATCATTTCACTCATTAACAGAGGAAATTGGGACTGTTTATTATCATCCATCCACTCAAATGGTGATGTGCTTTAAACCCAACAGACCACTTAACGTTGACCGTGTGTAAGACAGGAAGAAAACAGACACTGACATGTGACTTCTGTATTACAAATAACACACACTATCTCAGGGGTCTGCATGAGAGGCAGTGACAAAGCATTTTAGACAACCTGGGATGAGGAATTAAAAAAAAAAAAGAAAAAAAAAGAAGCTATTACTGGCTGAAAATGATTGCAAGGTAGATATTATCAGATGTCCATAGAGAGACATGGACACTGTTTATCATCATCCAACCACTCTAATGGTGATGTACTTTTATTCCTCTTCATTATAGTTATGCCCTCAGAGTCACTGCAGCTGTGTCCGTTCTATCAGAAGATACAAATCTGGCCTGTTGCTGCTGCCTGTGAGTCAGAAAGTGATCATTTTCAGGATTGACTCAACATTTCTACATTTCACTTTGTCCTATTTTCGTTTCCCCCACTGAGGCGTACTTTCTCTCTCATGCTGCCGTACGATCCTACATACGTTAAGTGGGCATTAAGGTCGTTTCCTGTGCAAAATATTTAGTCGTCTCCCTGGCAACAAATACATTTCTATTTCGGTCTGCACTCTGGCTCGTGTTTCCTCTCTCGCAATCAGACTCAACAGCATCAGGTTACAATGTGACAGCCTGTTGTCAAAAAATGACATGCCACTGACCGCTTAATTTCATCATGCTCTGAAAGCATTTGGCAAGCTTTGGATTTATTGTCAACTTAATTATTTTCGGTGCATTACTATTCTTGTACACTATTGGTAGGATGGCCTGATTGTATTGGCTGCTTGAAATGTCACTCAGTCTGCAGGAAACGCCCACACTGTATATATCTTCTTTTCAGGGTGAGGCCAGGCCCTGCTGCACTCTCACTCCTCCTCAGCTGACCAACCGAATCTGCAAAGATGAATCAAGTAAGTGTCTTTTCAACTGGATGTTTTTTTTTGCTCCTGCACTGATTGTTCACTGTTATGATTCAAGCAGTTTGAGATCATGTTCTAAAAAAAGTGGAAGTAACAGCTGTTTGACATGTGCTAGCTCACATTGCTGTATGCCAATGCTGATAATAAAACTGCACCGGCTAAACTCTGCTTTATCTAAATGTCTATACTGCACTTGTATTTTTAATGTGTAGTTTTAAGATGTCTGGGTTTGTATGATTTCCTTTTATGGTCAAAATATTCACCAGAGAGCTCAAGTATCCACATTGTCCCTCTTGTAACTCATTCACATACACGTTTTCTCTACTGCTGCAAAATGCACGACATTGAAGTGAGCTGTCTAGGTTGTAACATTGATCCTGCACTAATTGAATTACTCTAAAATGCCTGTTTACATTTGTCCATTTCATTCCAATGATCACCTCAGTCTTCATGTCTGGAGCCAAGCACAGGCTGCAATGCTTCTCTGCTCCCTCTCTCTCTCCCTGACTCATAAACACAGTAGATTACTACAAAGGCCCTGTATCATTCTGCCTTTTTGTTGGCTACAGGGTTAAGCATGTGTTTGGAAAGGAGACAGCTGCAGGAGCATCGGGTTCACCATCACGTTAAAGGACCAGAGAAAGAAAGTCACCATCATGAGGAGAGAACTTAAACTTTTGTAGTGAAGGAGTCTTCAGTGCAGCTTTTTGGAGAGTTCATTCAGTGGATGTCTCCTGCACTATTAAAGTTCTGCTTAGTCTTAATATAGTGAATTCCTGCAGGATGATCTGTACCTTCTGGGTTTAATATTTGGAGTTTGAAACTGTTAGTTTGTTGGCTGCCAGGTATTATCCCCCCCATCTGTGAGGTGTGTCACTTAGACAACATAGTCTGCAGATTCCTTTAGGTCGCAGCGTCTGCCAGTCCTCAGCCGCTCCCCTCTCAGCTCGAGCTTCAGTGCTATGTCTTGTTCATGCACTTTACAGTCAAACTCTATCATGGAAGGAATGTCGAACTCACGTCATTCTATATATTTAACCTTCATTTTTACGTCATGGTTTGGTTTCCTCGACTCTGTGTTTCTCACCTCATGTTCTGCCAAATTCAACATCTAGCAGTAAGGGTGCTCACAACTCAAACAGGTCATTTACATTCTTGCTCTGGTTTCTTGAAAGACAACATTTAAAATGCAATTTGCCATCAAGACCAAATCACTTTTGCAAAGTTAAAAGTTTTAATATTTTCTCAAAGCTACGGAAGCCCAAAGGGGACACACATTCATTCATTTTATTTCCTACATTTTCCTGTGATAACGAATACATTTTGGTAGTTTTCACAAGATTTCAACTTCTTTCTCTTGTCATCTTCTAAAAACAACGTTGGCTGTCCCGTGATAATGAGTGAAATTCTCTAGATGTCGAGAAAGCGGCTGAAATGACTCCTTTTCACATGAAAATTAATGTTGTTTTTCCCTAGATACGGTGATAAATAAGTTGAGATCTTGAGAAATCTAACTCAATTTCACTCGTCATCACGGGGAAAACAGAGTTAAAAGAAATTTATAAATGCATGTCTGCTTCCGTACAAAGCAGTCACAGATAACAAAACACACAAATGACTGAAAAACTGTAAATAAAATCTGTCTCATTGGTCAGTATTTGTCTGGTTTTACAATAAACAACAGCTACGGGCGTTATTTGGAAAGCTCAGAGTCCCACTCTTTAAATAAATGTTTGACTTTATTGTGAAAATCATAAATCCTCAGCGGGGCGGCTGTTTTTGAAATTGTGGTCCTTAACCACTGACAGTTCCACCCCCCGATACATCATGAGGCAAAGTCAGTAAATGTTAAGTAGCAGCGATCTGTGTTTCACAACCACAGAATTGATTGCTCAAGTATAATTTCCTATTTGGGCACAGCTCAGTATTCCCTTGCCACATGTACAGTAGCAGCTGCAGAGCTGACGGTTTCTGCTGTGCTCAGCCTTTATTTCCATTGTGCACCTCCATCCAGTTCAGCTCTTATAGGAAAAATTGACTCAGTCCAACAGTTTTACCTCATCAGTTCTCAACATTTAGCCTCTGCCAAAATCTGCAGAAAGGAAAAAGAAGGCAGCCTGAGCAGCAGTAGTACAGGACAGAGCAGAGAGTGTTGTAACCGGTTGGTCAATGGGAGGATAATTGAAAACACATGTTGAGTAATTTCTGAGGATGAAGTGAGTTGGCTGAGGCCGCTCATGGTGCTTGTTCCTTGCCTGGAGCTGCAATAATGATCGGCTCTAGTCAAATCCTGAAAGTATTTATTTACACACAATAATGTTTTATATCACAACCCTCCTCCTCTGTTTTTTTTTTTTTTTCTGCACAGGGTATGATCATAAAGAACATGTCCTTCAAGGTCGGGCAGACCCTGACCATTGTTGGAGTCCCAAAGCCTGATGCTACAAAGTGAGTACATGATCTTTATATTATGAGACAAATGCATCACAATCAAAGTGGAAAAAAAAAAAAGACCCTCTGGTTCAGAAATATTTGGATCACTTACAACTGCCTCCCGTGTCTCCAGACAATGAGTACTTTCTGTAGATGTCTGCAGGGTTTGGCAGACTGGTTGATGGGAAATGTTTAGACGCCAAGCCGTAAGGGTGAAGCATATTTCCCTCAAAATGATTTGGACTTAAGTCGAGTTTCACTTCTGATTTGGCTATGGCTGAAAGTTTGCAACTTATCAAACACATTCTTCTGTGTTTCTGTCTAATTCTTCTTCTTTCATTAAATGTCTGCTCTTATCTTGATTTTCCCTGTGGAGTTCAGTCGCTGGCCTCATCACAAGCACCATTATTTATTTACACTGCCACAGCACAGAGATGTAGGTGTTATCTTCCCCTCAGTAATGTGGGTGTGACGAGGCTAATAGTTAGCAGATGACAAGTGAAACAATGCAAAGCAGACGAGGCTGTCTTAGGGGTTTTTGTGCAAAGGGCATCCTCTCACCTACTTCCTCAACGAGAGGCCATGACTAAATGAAATAAATATTGACTCTGTGCCTCAGTTTTGCAGTGAACATCGGCCCCGATGAGAACCAGTTCACGATGCACCTCAACCCTCGCTTTAACGCGCACGGAGACGAGAACGTGGTGGTCTGCAACTCTTACCAGGGAGGCAACTGGTGCGAGGAGCACCGCGAGGGGGGGTTTCCCTTCGTGCATGGAGAGGAGTTCAAGGTGAGAGTTTTTCTGAGTGGGTGTTTTAACCCTGCATGTGTGTCTGCCGGCATGTGTTCAAACCTATTTTGTTCTCCTAGTGACCTCTGTTGGCAAAAGTGAGAAATTGTACCTCAACAATAACATAGAATAGCATAGAGTTGGAGATGTTAAGTTTGCACATTTTGTACCTTACAGATCGTCATCAAGTTCACCCCTGCAGAGTTCGTGGTCACTCTTTCAGACGGCTCCACAATCTGCTTCCCCAACCGCATGGCCGCTGAGAAGTACTCCTTCTTCAGCTTCGACGGAGAAGCTCGCATCACTAGCTTCGAGATCAAGTAGTGTTTTAGATTCTCTATTCAGCTCTATTTCAATGAATCTACAGCATCAGGTCACTTATAGCCTCAGCTTGTATCTGCCATGCATTCTGTACATGTGGATTTAGTACAGTGCCTTAAATGCTTACAACTCAAATACGCAAGATTTTAATCTTCTGACATGTGCAGACAAAAGGCAAGCATTGCAACAAAAAAAAAGATGGATAGTTTAAGCTACACAGCTGCACAAACAGAAACACACACAGTATAGTAGCTGCAAACACAAAGTCATCCCCAAGGCCATGTCATCTGACTCTTATTGGATTTGCAGTTTGCATTGTTTAGTCGAAAAAGTGCCAAATAAAATGTGATCATCTGTTCTGTCTGTGTCTTGAAATGCGACACGCTCTCCTGTTTTTTTCCCTCCCAGACATTCCAGATTTATAATTGAGTTTAATGCTTTCCTTCACTTCATGCATTAAAGCATTTAATGTTACCATAAACGTGGACTTCTGTGATTCTTTAAACCTTTTACACATGTACATTATCTATGAGGACGCTCCTTCCACACCCAGTGAGAAAAAACATCCCTTGCCCTCTGTGCATTGTTCATTTGAGGTGGTAAATGTACCGTAATTTACCTGGAAATAAACTGCATGTGACATTTTATTTCATCCATATGCATAATAAAACCAACCCCCCCCCCCCAGCTCTTTGCATACACAGCACTCCAAACATTAATACCATGCAGACGCTTGTGAAAGCAGAAGTGAGCTATATTTACTCGAGGGCTGGTTCCATATTTTCTTGTGATGATTTATTTTGACCTGCAGGTTCCTGACATCCATCTTTAAAATAAATCAAGTCCAGTTTTCACCACAAATGGACGGAAATTGTCGATGATTTTGGCGTCACTTAAATCTGTGCAAACTTTTGTCGTCTTTTGCCACTCACTCAAGTCCAGGAAAGAAATTATGAAACGAGGCCATTAGCCATGTTAACCAGTAGATGTCGCCATTGTTATTTTAATGTAATAAACCTAAGGCTATTAGGGGAAATGTTCCAGGTCACACATGCAATATTTAAGTTGCTTGTAGATCTATGTGAGGGAATTTTGGTCTGTGTGAAACTGTGTTTGTCTGTTATCGTTCTGATAGTTTTTTATTCATGGTGGGGGGGGGGGTAACAATGGGGGTTTAACTAATTTGTTTCATCATTATTTTTGCATATTTTGTAAATTAGACAAAATATGCGATTAGAGAAACAAAAATTGTAATTAGACAAACTTGAATTGTGCAACAGCTGCTCCATCTTAAAAATTAGGAAGATAAAATAGAGACTTATTTTTTTAGAAGGAAAAAAAAGATTAATTTGTCAGCTCTATTGATCTCCTGATGACAAGGATAATTTGTTCTTCCCACACGAAATGGCACAGAGGTGAAAATAAAAGTAAAAAGTAAGACCTTAATGTGTGCAGTGGTTCTAACCACAGTGTGTGTGTGTGTGTGTGTGTGTGTGTGTGTGTGTGTGTGTGTGTGTGTGTGTGTGTGTGTGTGTGTGTGTGTGTGTGTGTGTGTTTGAGAGACTCATGAGTGTTATTACAATCTAATCTGATGTAACAGAGGGCAATGTGTGCAAGGCTGACTTTAAGGCAGCTGAATAGAGAGGAGAAAGTGAAGAGCTGAGTTAATGTGTGAAACAGGTTCCCATGCTCTCATCCTCCTCCAAGACAAAAAGCTACATAAACGTGTGTGTGTGTGTGTGCCTGTGGCTCTTCTGCATGCTTTGTGCATCAGTGTGCTTTCTCCAAGTCACCCAGGCTGCTGTGTGTGCATGTGTGTGTGTGTGTGTGTGCGTGTGTGCGTGCATGCGTGTGCGTGAGTGGTAATCATTGGTCTGTAGCTACCTGGCAGGGTCAAAGGTTATCTCTCTGGAGGAGGGGAAGGAGCAGATTTGGTTGCCATGATGAACACTCACCCTCCCTCTCTCTCCTCTCCCTCTCCCCCCCCTTACTTTCTGTGCAGAGTCGTCCCTCTTATTCTCCCTCCGTCTCTCACTTACTCATTCCTCAGCTGTAACCCATCCTTCTTCTCGCACTCCTAATTGGAAATAATTCATTTTTTACACTTCCAAGCTTCATTACTTTCTGGCAGACATGATCAATATCCAGGGCTGTGTTGTTATAGAGTACGAGATGTGTTTGTGTTTAAAGGAGGACGAGGCTCCAGGCTCATCAACAAAGATTATATTATAACCTATTATATCTCATTATCTATTGATTACAAACAATATCTACTCTCTCCTTTTTCCCTGAGAGAAACTCACACAGGTCATTTAAAGCATTGCTCTGGTTTCTTGAAAGGCAATGCTGAAATTAAATCTTATAATTTATACCTTCTCCCTCGCCTACAGTCAACCCGAAAGTTGTGTGTGAACATGTTTGATCAGTATATGTCATTAGAGGTTTTTCAAACAACACGTGTGCAAATACTTTTAGTTTACCGTGAGATGAAGTAGGTGTACGTGTTCTTCAGACTAATGCTGTGGTGCTTGCGTGAAGGACATCTCTGCACCCTTCCACACAGGTCCAATCAATCACGTTTGTTCTGTGATTAACACATTCAAATTACCTTGCCCTGGAGGAATACACACACAACACACAACACAAACACACACGTATGTAAATATGTGTAATTCCAGCAGACAAAGAGCGAGCATATGCTGCGTTGTCAGTTCTGTTAATCTATTTCATGTGATGAGCTTTGTGGCTGTTTAACAGGTCGCCGTGTTTGCTTCACCTGTGCCTTGTCACTGGTTCAGTGTGAGTAAATGTGCTGAAATGTGTGGATTGGAATGATTCACCGCAGCTTACATAAAACCTTTGTCTATATTTAGCGCCAGCATGACTCCAGATTTTTGCACCGAAGCTATCAGCCACACATTGAGATGTGCGTGGGCCCGCCCTGAGCTGACTGCGGTCCTGGATTCATGTTCTGCATCCCTGCTTCACCTCCAGGCTCATGTTTTTTTTATTTTTTTGCTTTTTCTGACGAACAGGATAATACATAAACTCAAGAGGACCTGCTGCGCTGCATCATTATGAAAGTGTTACCTTGGGTAGTTTCAAACAAGATTCAGTTTTATTTATTTGTGCAGAACCATCATGTCAAGAAAAAAATACATAGACACAAAATGAAATAGCTGCACAGGAGAAGCCAGACATCCTGGAGGAACTGTGACAGTTTTCTCTGAAGAGCACTGAAAAACAAATCTTCCAGGCAAGCAGGAAACCAGCTATACATATAAATACAAAACAAATAAATGTGAAATTATGTAAGGACGCCTGTTGACACACCTTTCTTGCTTGGTCGGGTTTGTACAGTATGTGTGGCTCCTTGTAGCTGGCATGAGTCCAATAAGCATCATCACTCAAACGCAAAGTGTTCATGAGGCCATTGAGTTCATGTCGGATATGCCAATACATTCAATGATTACGACAACAAAAATAACCGATTTATCGACAGTATCAAATAAACTATCTCTCATTTTATCTTGCCACGATGCGCCACGATCAAAAACCATTTGGGGATTTAGTCTGCCACACCACCAGGGGGCAGCAGTGTGCTCACGATAGGTTACCTCACAATTAAGTAAGAAATACGCAGGTGTATTTAAAATACATTAGCATACAAAAACATTTCTTTAAAATACTTTTACACTTTGTTGGTTTGGGTAAGATTATGTTCTTTTTTTGGGGGGGAGAAATACAATATTCCTGCGTTCACAGTTTAAATAAAAGCGTATCCGCTTAAATTTGTATCAATAAGAATCAAAAGTTTGAGATGAAGACATCAAGGAGAGATTTTCATTTCAGCTACAAAATGCAAAGATGTGGTAATAAGTGTCGCAAAACATGGAGGATAAAGAGGATGAAGAAGACTGTCTGGTCGAGCCGCATAAACAATGTGAGTTAGCTTGTGAGCTAAAAGTAAGCTACTTCTATGTGCTGTGTTTCATGGGCTAATGTTAGCTAAAGCTGCAGGTGTTACGTTGTAAAGAGTTACCATGTTACCTGGCGACTTAAGCCAAATGAAAGACGTTTTGAGTATTGTTGACGTTATAATAAAAAAACTAAATTAAGAGACATCCATTTGGACACTTTCTGTCTTCAACATCTGTTGTTACCACGACAACTGGCAGGAAGTCACACGTTAACACGGTCACCTTTTAAACCGTAACACCCGCAGACGGTTTTTAGCCACCAGGAGTTTTGTAAATCCGTAAAACATTACGTTTTTAAACCACAGCAGAGCCATTGCACAGCTGGACTATTTTGTAACTTAAAATGTGTTATTTCTGGTGACTTTGATTTAAAATTGTGAGTTTCGTAGTTGTTGTGGGGTTTGTTAATCATTAGGTTCATTCATTAACCTGCAGAGTGTCACTTGGAGGAGATGTTTTGCAGTCTTTCACCTGTAATCAGACTCTGGCAGTGGTGTGACTGATGTTTTTTGCGCATTCATTGCACATTGTGTATGATAAAACCTGAGCTAAGCTGTGACCCTGAGCACAACTTGACTCTCCGACAAGGATCATATAAAATGTCTCTGTATAAATATCCATCACACTGAGAGACTGTACTCTCCTTTCTCTATCTGGTGACATTGAAGGGCTTTACTCCAATACAGTGGAGGATAGATGATGCAATTACAGTTAAATGTAATACATTTGTATTTACTTACACATTTGTATGGACTACAGTACAATATACCAGTCAATCTGCTCAGGTGGATACCCAGGGGAGGTTTCCGTTTTGTCCTGCAGGTCAAACAGCAGAATAGCCTGACAGCTTGCAGAGTACACTGTCATTGACCTGCCCTCCAGTGATGGTGTGTGTCTGTGTGTGTGTGTGTCTGTCTGTGTGTGAGTGTGACATGTGTATGCACAGCAGCACAGGTGACCTTTTACACATAGTAAGCATTTCCCAACACCAAGTGTCAGTCCTAAGCTGCACTGCACCTGTTTGGATCATCGCTGCTGCAGAGTGAACCACTGCACGTGTGAAATGTGAGTCTCTTTTTTCGGGGATTGAAGTTGTAAAGTGCAATCGGTGTCTGCATGCGTAAAGAGCATATCTGCACTGTAACCTGGGTGTTTGTGTAGGTGCTTGTTTGATTGCGTGTCACAAACAGAGTCACTGTGCTCCATTTGGCGCAAAATTTGAGCACCTCTGACCTCCAACAAGATTTGTAATGCACCTCACACATAGTGTCAAAGTCACTCACCTTGTTTGCTTGAGTTGTCTCCCGGGCTGGAATGAAGCTCATTACCATGCTGATGCAACAGACATGAAGTGACAACCTGGGGTGTGATTTAAGAGACTTAAAAGTCCAAAGAGAAACAGGCAGCAGGGCGACTGGTTTAGTGCTTACGGCTGAACTAAGACTGACCTCTAATTTTATATCTGTAAAGTGGATTTGTGAGACTTTCAGTCGAATTCTAA